TACGCGTTTCACTGGTCGATTCTTCTTGTCCCAGTGCTTCTGTAAAAAAATATGCTAGGATGAGCAAAATGAAGAATTCTAAAGACTAGAAGATGTGCACAGTGTACTGGCCTTTAGTGCTCGTTTCAAGAATCCGGAAAACGTGGCTATGAGAAGACGGAAAACGTTCACGCTGATGTTGACTTGGTATATCTAGCATATAGATAACCTTGATCTAACATAACATATTACCTAACATATTTCTTGATGACCTAACATATTCTAAAAACAATTTTTCAAGTAGCCCAAGGAAAAACTGGCTATCTGAGGTTGCTAACTGGACCACAAGCGAATTCCTCGGTCCGGAAAAAAAGTTGAATTTTTTGTACTCGTCCAAAAATTCTACTTCATTCTTGAAAAAAGAATTCATCGACTTCTAGTTTTTTTTTTTGGGAAATGACAAAACCTTAATTGTGCTGCGCAAGTGATCCTAATTTCTACCAATAACTCTAATGCACGATTCACTTCTCAATTGTGCAACCGGAAACTTTTTCAGTTATTCTGACCAATACTGCACTGCCAGCTGGACAGTCTGTCTGACATTTCTTCATCTCCTGAAGGGAATAAGAACACAAATTTGTCTAACTAAACTCTACCATAGATTTTTGTTAAAAAGTAGGAAATACTAGAAATTTGCAAAATTTACAGCCGAATACCTTAAAGCAGATAAAGTCCAGCAATACCGCCAGGGTGTGACCTGAACGCCAGCTGTTATCCTTACATGTTGAATGCGTTCGGAAGCTTATGATTTTCGACCCCTTCACTGGAGTGGATGGAGAAATTTGCAGAATGATGAAGAAAATAATCCTTTGTTTTAGTTGCTGTTTCCTCTGGCCCAAAATATAAAATATGAGACAAATCAATGCCAATCACGTTGATTTCCTGTCACGAAATAAACTAGGCCATTCCTGTCTTAAGTCAGTTTTTTCCCAAGGATGGGCGAACAAGCCGGAAACTCAGCAATCGAACAAACGCTGCTGGGTATTATCTATGCAAGGAGTGCAACCGGCAGGAGAAACAGGTAAATTAACTAAACGAGGTCCGTTGAAGGACAACAGCGAGATAATCAATTGGTGAGCAGACCAGCGTTGTTTCTTATCAAATCTGATTTTATTATAAAGCGTACAAGGAGAGCAGGTGCTCTCTTCTCCATCCCCTCCCCCACCCATCCTCCTCAGTTTTCTCCCTTTCCCACTTTATGACGGCTTTAATTTGTTAAAAAAAAAGTTTAACAATATTTTATCCGCCGAAAATTTGAAGACTTCGACAAATTTGTGTCCGACGCACGGAGACATCTCAGTAATATCACTAACATGGAATAACTTGGCATTCCTGCTTACATCGGATAAAAGTTTTGCTAACAAGCGATACATTTAATGTTTTAGAGGATAGCATCCATAAGAAGAAAAAGAGATTACATGGAATTCTGCTGAAATGACCAGCCCCAGGGGAGGGGAATGAGACTTTCCGTGTGCATATCAAATTTTTCTCCGTAAATTCAAGGCAGAGGTACCCAGAAAATGGCCTGAACAGTAGCAAGTGTCAAACAGCAACCACTAGCATGCAAAACTGTCAATGGTTCCCCATTCGAGGGCTGCTTTCAAGCAATTTTTTGAAGAGTAATATGTGGAAGTTACCTGACGATGAATCGTGTGCCAAGGTTGGAAGTGACGCTGCTGCTGCTAACTTTTCTTTCTCTTTTGCCCATTTGCGTAAAGTATCCTCCACAATCTGAAACTGTTTTGTGAAATGCAACGCAAACCAATACGTCCACCCTTATGTGTTCTAAACGGCAAAAATTTGAGAAGAGGTGAGGATACTCAACAAACACTAATGACATCTCAGAATGGCTAAAGCCTTG